AGCAAAGACAAGAGCATCTCTAAAAAGTACCACAGCCATCCTCAGCCAGTGAGGTCCTGAGCTCCTCTGATGAAAGCAGAGTTCTAATCTGGAAAGCCAATGTGAGAAGCTTCTCCAGGAGGCTGAGCAGTGCACCACCTTCCCCTAGGGAGCCAGGAAGCAGCACTCCAAGTGAGGACCAGGGCTCCCCCAAAGTGAGCCTCAGCCATTCTCAGCTACACCAAGGTTCCAAACTCCTTTTATGATCAAATAGCCAAGCTCATGAAGAAAGCCAGCATAGCACGACAGGGTCCTCCAGCAATACTGCCCAAGGGACCCAGCAGCTCCCTAATAGCTCCAACAGCTGCTGAAGCTCCCAACAGTCTCCCTTCTTCCCCTCCAGTTCTGGCTCTACCCTGCTGGTGACAGCCCTCAGGTGGCCTCCCACATCTAGCATCAAGCTGACAAGTCAGCTGAGCACTACAAGTTGACCACCAGTTATCAATTCACCATAGTAAAAATACAGCTTAGAATCTTTAAAAGCTTTTTCAATAAAGTCACTCCTGATAAACCACAGATATCAGAACCCTAATCTTTTCTTCTTTGCTCTTTTACCTTAGGTGTGCCAAGTAACTTATTTACTATGCATGATTTGGAAAACACTAAGTGTATCAAAAACAGATAAACAATAACAACAAAAGCCCCCACAAAACCCAAAAACTGAAACCTAACTATCCAGAGATAAACATTATTGGCATGATGATGTATATTCCTCTAGTCTCATTTCTGGAGGCAAGAAAAGGATGTATATGTTAGTATACAAAATCTGAGTATTTTATATAATACTTTTACATCTTTTTAAAAAAACGTAATGGTGTATCATGAGTACTTTCCCATATCACCAAATACTTCTTAGTGGCTGCAGGGTATGAATCATGAATATACCATGATTTATTTAATCATTCCCTGCTGTTAAGCATTTACATTTTCCTCTTGCTCAAATTCTACATATTATCACATGCTAGTGGCTATAAATCTTAGTCTGAATCTCTTATACTTTTCTTTAAGAGATTTCTAGAAAGGGAGTTACAGACTCAAGAAGCATTTTATGGCTATAAACATGCATTGCCAAACTGCTCTTTCGAAAGTTTATTATGCAATTTTTATCTCCATCAACATATTTGTGTGCTCGTTTTGCTGTACCTTTGGCTAGAATGATAATTATAATTTTACAAATGGTTAATAAATGAGCATGCTGTCTATTACTTTACTTTTATATGAAGTTATGTGTGACATAAATGAATTTTCCATGCCAGAGAGGAATTCAATTATATAATAATTCTCAAAGTAGGTATTTATTAAATAGGTAGTATATGCCAAGCACAGTGCTAAGCATTTTATAAAGTCCTCTATATCTGTGTGTTCCACAACTATGAGTTCAACTCATCACATCTTGAAAGTTTTAGGAAAAATGTACAACTGTACTAGACATGTGTGGACTTTTGCCTTGTAATTATTGCCTAAACAATAGAATATCACAACTGTTCACTTAGCATTTACATTATAGGTATTAAAAGTAATCCAGAAGTAACTGAAGTATACAGGAGGATATATACAGATGATGCAAAATTTACCATGCCATATTATGTAAGGGACTTGAACATTCACAGATTTTGATATCTCTAAGAGGTCCTGGATGGGTGGCACATGCCTGTAATCCTGGGATTGCACTCAGGAGGCTGAGGCAGGAGTATCATTGTGAGTTCAAGATCAACCTGGGCTACAAAGTGAGCTCAAGGCCACCCTGAACTGTAAAGTGAGATCCTGTCTCAAAGAAAGAAAGAGAAGAGAAGAGAAGAGAAGAGAAGAGAAGAGAAGAGAAGAGGAGGAGAAGAGAAGAGAAGAGAAGAGAAGAAAAGAAAAAAGAAAAGAAAAGAAAAGAAAAGAAAAGAGGAGGGGAAGGGAGGGAGAGGAGGGGAGGGGAAGGGAGAGGAGATTCTGGAACCAATCCCCACAGATGAGGGATAATGGTGTCTACCATGTAACTATATTTCAACTTTTTTTTTAATATGGTTTTGTATCCAGCCCTTTTTTATTTTGAGAAAGGGCCTCACCAAGTAACTAAGATACTAAGGATGGGCCCAAACTTGTGATTCCCCTACCTCATATCTCAAGAGTGCTGGGATTATAGGTGTGTATTACTAAGCCCTAGTCCTTCATTAACTTTAATGAATGAACATATTGAGGCCTAGATTGGTTAGTAAATTCTAAGTCACAAAACTGTTAAGCAGATAAACTGGGATTTGAATCTAGGTCTTTCAGAAACCATGTTTTTAAGTGTTTTCCATGTGTATACTGACCTCTCAAGTATAAACACATGAGCCACTAAACTTAATTTTTATTGGAAAAAATGGGTAACCAAATACACTAATGATTGTTGAGAAACATGGGATATGTTTCTGGCTATTTTGTAGGGAATAAACCTGGTAAAATTTTGGTACTATAAGAATAACCATGAGTTCAGAAACATAGAAGGTATGTGTCGCACCATCTCAGGATTGGCTTACTTCTCTCACATGGGCTCCATGAGAGCTCATGAAGATTGGGTGGTGCAGCTTCTAACAGAGACTGATTTTCACTATGGGTGACCCTGCCTAGAGTGGCACAGAGCTGTCTGCCATAGGTTCCTCTTGTCTTTGAAGCTACTGAAGTTAGGCTGAAGAAATGGAAGGCTGGGAGCACTGAGATGGCCATTGAGACTGGGTGTGGTGGTGCGTGGGAGGCTGAAAGCATGAGGATCACTATAAATCCGATCTGTGTAGTGAGACCCTGTAGACCCTGTACTAAATACTTAAAAAAAAAAAAAAGTATAAAGAAATGGAAGGCACACAATAACTATGTACTGTGCACTAACATATTTATGAGTAAGGCTTGAACAAGACATGCAAGCTTAATAGAAATGTTTTGTTTCACCACTAGAGATTACATCTCTAAGCCAAAGACAGAGGAGTGATGTGATGACTGTTGTACTTACAAAAGACAAAATAATGAATATCCCAGACAAGTCTTTTCTAGAAAAACAATTGAGGTTATTATACATCTGTCAGACAATTCTTTCTTTTTGTTTTCCTTGAGTAAAAACAGAACCATGTTAATGTTTTTCCATCTTTATTTAACTATGTTTTGGTGAAACACCCAGTCAGTACACATTTCTTAAAGTAACAATGGACAGTATAATATCTTACTGTCAAGAAATCTATCGTAATATCTTTTACAATGTATGCACCTAATATTAAGTAACTGTAGCACTGGCAGGTGTTTATGACAAGAGTACTTTGAAGAATAAAGATGTCTTAGAACGTTAAACTCTAGGCAAAAGAAGCAATCTTTATAGGTCATATATATTTTTTATTTTAATATACATAATTTTAAAGCAAAACCATGAAAACTACCTCAGGCTGGGTCAACATATAAATTATAGAATGCAAAAGTGAGCTCAAGGCTTCTAGCACAGAGTGTATGCAATCTAACTCTTCCAGTTATTTTCCAAAGATGTCAGCTAGATTCTTTAGCAGTGAGCAACTGCTGAGTTTTCTCTTTAACTTGTTTGTAAGCTATGAAAAAAGGGCACAATTGGTACCCTACATAAAATTTTCCAAAAGCACACTAGAAAAAGGTGATTACTGCTTTTTTTCCTACTGTT